GCCTTTCTAAACTAAGAACATTTTGCCTCTACGCGGTCTTTATCCCTCTGTTCCCTGCCTATTCATGTCTCTGTCAAGATGCCTCTTAAACATTGTATCTGCTTCAACCACCTCCTCTGGCAGCGCATTCCAGGCACTGACCACCCTCTGTGTAAAAAATCTTGCCTCTCACATCTTTTAAACTTTTCCCCTTTTACCTTAAACCTATGTCCCCCCGTAATTGAATTTAAAAAAACAAAAAAACCGTGGATGCTGTAAATCAGAGACATAAAATGGAAGTTGCTGGAAAAGCTCAGCAGGTCTGGCAGCGTCTGTGGAGAGAAAGCAGAGTTAACGTTTCGAGTCACTCGACCCGAAGAAGGGGTCCTGACCCCTGAAAAAGGGTCCCAACCTGGAACACCAACTTTTCTGATGCTGCTGGCCTGCTGTGTTCCTCCAACTCCTCTTATCTCCTGAACAATGAAGACAAACTTCCCATAAACTACCTTGACCACCTTATCCACTTGCATTGCCACTTTCAGTATAGTTTGGAGCATGTGGAAAGCATGTTGAAATTGGTCTGTGTGGAAATATCTCCTTTTGACTACTTATAACAGGAGAAGCTGTAGACCATAAAGAACATTGTTCCTCTGTTGTGATGCCCCTATCAATGACTGGGAGAAAACACGTCTGCTCCATGGGTACCTTTACCCTCCGTGCCACTCAATTGTTCCTCTTTATGCCCCAATGCTGACAGACATGACCTTCTACTGGTGCCGTTTGTTGATGCAACATCCAATTACCGTGAACCAGAATAGGGGCTATTGACCATCCAGGATTGTCCAGGTGTCTTCAGGAATTTAAGATTAACTTCCATATTGTTGCTATGCATCAATGCAAAAGAAAGCAGCCCATTCAGCCCATCGGGTCCACACCGACCCTCCAAGAGCATTCTACCTAGAACCACGCACACCGCACCCCCCCCCCCCACCCCCCCCCCCCCCCCCCCCCCCCCCCCCCCCCACCATCCCTGTATCCTTGCATTTCCAATAGCCTGCACATCCCTGCACACTATGGGTAATTTAGCGTGGCCAATCCACCCTAACCCGCACATCTTTGGACTGTCGGGGGAAACCAGAGCACCTGGAGGAAACCCACACAGACACGGGGAGGATGTGCAAACTCCACACAGAGAGTCACCTGGAGGGTGGAATCAAAGCCAGGTCCCTGGTGCTGTGAGGCAGCTGTGCTAACCACCGAGTTGCCCTGAACATTTAAAAAAAAAAGTGAACTTGTAAAGCAACCTTTAAGCATTTTACTTCATAGATGGTTTAATAATCATAAGGAAATAGGAGATGGGGGAGGGCAGGGGCAAGGCTCTTTGACTAAGTGAAGGATGTAGTCAGCCAAAGATCCCAACCCCAAACCTGAACCAAAAGTGGTCACTGTTGGCTAATGAGATGAGGTGATAGAGGGGACTGTGCACTTTAATTTCCTTTCATTTCATTTTAAAATGATGCAGAGAATTGATTAAATCATGGACCAGGGGAATTCTCCCAACAGCTAAACAGTCACCAATACCTCAGTTCTCAAGGTTCCTGTGAAAGGATCAATGAAAACGTTCCTTCATTTTCTGCATATGTTAGCGAGAATAGAAACTGTGTTCTTTAATTACTGGTTATAATCACTCATGCACAAGGTGTTCATGCATAAGGCATTTCCCAGTGCTAAATGACCTGTGATGTTCATTAAAACCAAGGTGAGTTCCTTTTTACCAGAATGCAACTTTTGTGTTGTTTGGTACTTGCAAGAACTGTTTTTAATCTCTGTTTTCTACTTGCCCACTGCCACCTGCTGTTGCAGTTCCATTCGCCTGTTCATTTAGTTCAATTGAAACTCTTGTCACCTGATTCCAATTCTCGCTGTTAGTATACAATTTTCATGTCCTGAATCTATCCGTTAGAGCGTGTCTGACTTTAGGACGAGGAGCAGGAGCCGTGTTCGAAGGAGGGAAGAGATAGTTCGGATTTTTGTGTGTCCTGGCACGGAAGGAGCTGGCGAACGGGCGCTTTTCAAGAAGCTGCTCCACTTGGAGCAGTCATGCAAGCCTCCCATTGCCAGCTGCTAGTGCTGATGTTCAAGCTTACCCTGCTCAAGCATACAGTCTCAAAACATATAGAGTCAAAGTGTTGTACAGCATGGAAACAGACCCTTTTGTCCAACTCGTCCGTGCCGACCAGATATCCTCAATTAACCTAGTCCCATTTAACAGCATTTAGCCCATTATCCCTCCAAACTCTTCCCATTCATACGCTCATCCAGATGCCTTTTAAATGTTGTAAATGTACCAGCCTCCACCACTTCCTCTGGCAGCTCATTCCATACACACCACCCTCTGAGTGAAAAAAGTTGCTCCTCAGATGCCTTTTATATCTTTCCCCTCTCACTTTAATCCTATGCTCTCTAGTTTTGGACTCCTCCACCCTGTGGAAAACACCTTGACTATTCACCCAATCCATGCCCCTCATGATTTTATAAGCAGGACTGAAGGAGATGGGGTTTGCTCTCCATAGGAGCACAGGAAGTGAAGAGGTGACATCAGAAAAGTGTTCAAAATCATGAAGGGCTTTGAGGAAAAATTAAAAGAGTCTTTAATGAGAGGACACAGATTTAAGGGGTTGGCAAAAAGATTAGAAGCACACAAAGAAATTTGTGCTTCTAGAAGTGCACAAAGAAACCTGCATCAGGCTTCTACTTATTGACTACAGCTCCGCTTCGACACTATAATCCCGACCAAACTAATCTCCAAACTCTGAGACCGAAGTCTCTGCTCCGCCCTCTGCAACTGGATCCTCAGCTTCCTGACCCACAGACTGCAATCAGTGAAGACAGCTCCTCCTCCATGATAATCCTTAACACTGGTGCCCCACAAGGCTGCATATTCAGCTCTTTACTGTATTCCCTGCAAACTCATGATTATGTGGCCAAATTTTGTTTGAGCTCCATCTACAAGTTTACCGATGACTGCATTGTTGTGGGCCAGATCTCAATCAATGACGAGACAGAATATAGGAAAGAGATAGAGTGCTTGGTGGTGCAGTGTAAAGATAACAGTCTCTTCCTCAAAGTCAACAAAACTAAAGAGTTGATCATTGATTTCAGGAAGCATGGAAGAGGACACACCCCTATCTGCATCAACAGAGTTGAAGTGGAGATGATTGAGAGCATCAAGTTCCTAGGAGTGACGTTCACCCACATGATGCAACAGTCAAGAAGGTACAACAACGTCTCTTCTTTCTCAGGAGGCTAAAGAAATCCGGAGTGTCCATGAGGACCCTCACCAACTTTTATAGATGCACCTCAGGAAGTATTTTGTCTGGGTGCATCACAGCATGGTATGGTAACTGCTCAGCCCACGACCACAAGGAACTACAGAAAGTTGTGAACACAGCCCAGACCATCATGTCAGCCAACCTTCCATCCATGGACTCCATCTACATTACTTGATGCTTTGGAAAGGCAGCCAACATAATCAAAGTTCCTTCCCACCCCAGTTATAATCTCTTCCAACCTCTTCTATCAGGCAGAAGATACAGAAGCTTAAACACATGTACCAACAGGTTCAAGAACAGCTTCTTCCCCGCTATTAGACTTCTGAATGGACCTCTCAAATTTCAAATCTCATGTGGGTCTTGCTTTTTCAGCACTTTCTTTGCAGCCATAACTTTGTGTATTCCTTGCCCTGTTCAATCACCCTACAATCTTTGTACGGTATGATCTGCCTGAACTGCATGCAAAACAAACTTTTCACTGTACTTAGGTACAAGTGACAATAATAAATCAAATCACAGCAAATTATTTGAGATAACAAGGTGTAGAGCTAGATGAACACAGCAGGCCAAGCAGCATCACAGGAGCAGGAAAGCTGACGTTTTGGGTCTGGACCCTTCTTCAGAAAAACCCTACTTTTGACTCCATTGCAAAGCCATCTCCAGCATTGGCAGTTCCTGCTATCTCTGAATCGATTTTAACCCCACTGCGAAGCACCCTCCGACGCTGCTTGGCCTGCTGTGTTCATCCAGCTCTACACCTTGTTATCTCAGATTCTCCAGCATCGGCAGTTCCTACTATCTCTGAATCAATTTTAACTCCACAGCAAATTATTTTTTCTTTTACACATTAACAAAGTTTTGCACTCTGCGACGGTTGTCTTGAAAGGTTCAGGACATTTTCATGGTATGATTCTTCCCCTGACAGGGTGTTTTACCCAATGTGGCAGTGATTATCTTTTGTAACATAAGAGACTGGGCGTGGCTATCGTGACATTGAAGAATGTTGCTCCAAAGAAGAGTCACGAGACTTGAAACGTTAGTTCTGTTTCTCTCTTCACAGACCTGCTGAGACCTGCTGCCAGACCTGCTGAGTTTCTCCAGCACTTCCTGTTTTGATTTCCAATCTCCAGTATTGCGCATTTGCAGTATTGTGATTTTATTTGAGAAGTTTATTACCGCTTACTGATACATACAAACGTTACATTCACAGTTGCATAAGTGTCTGGACTAACATAAAGCCATTAGGTTACACAGTGGAGTATGCTTCCAGTAGGGTGTCATGCTTCAAGTGATCCTGAGATAAGATGGAACGTGAGCTCCTTATACCTTCAGGTCTCAAGCTACGATGCAGTGATGGTATCACAAACATGTGTCTTAAAGGCAAACTGACTGTGAGACATAACTCAACAATTCAATTACAGCATTCAAAAAGAAATTGGATAAATATCTAAAAGCAAAATGTGTTCTGTAAGCATATGAAGCAAGAGCCCAGGAACAGCTGAACCCACTTTGAGATATATCACTGCGCTGTTTTTACCAACAATGTCATTGAAAGGCTGATCCAGTCGTTCTGATTGGATAGCCTGTGAGCAAACAGCCAGCACAAGCATGAAGAACTCAGTGGCCTCCTTCTGTGCTGTTATCATTCTAGACACAGGGGGTGCAAATTACGGAGAGATGAACACTTACCGAGAGTGAAGGTGTCCCATCGTCTTCCACTGTCACTGTTAGCTGGTAGAAATCCTGTCTCTCCCGATCTGGAGGAGACGGCCGCGTGACAATCTCTCCCGTCAGCCTGTCGATTCTGAAAGTGAGATCTTCGTTTCCACGAGTAATGTAGTAATAGAGCACGGCATTAAGGCCAGTGTCCGCGTCTGTGGCTCTCACTCTGGTCACTGCAGTACCTCCACCGACATTCTGCAAAATATACAGAACGTGTTAACGGGGGCCCAGAAAGATGGTGCAGCAAACAAAACCTAGCAGGCAGCCAGAGCTGGAGCAGTGCATTTAGTTTGGGCACTGCACCTTAAATTGGGTAGAATGGCCTTGAGCAATGTAGAGCCAAAAGGATGAAATGATGAGGATAAGCTTGGGCTTTTTATCACCTCCTATTTAGAAGGTAGAGGGACAACTTTAATGATGAAAGGATTTTCAGTGGTTGATACAGGTAAGTTATTTTCTGATTTGGGAATCCACACCTTCTTAAAATTTGAGCTCAGCTATTCAGGGGGAAAGGTAGTAGAATCTTCTTGAAAAGGTTGTTTGTTTGTCTGAGATCAGTTGAAAGCTTTAATATGGAGACAGACCTATTTCTGTTGGTGAAGGGTGTCATGGTATTTGGATCAAAGGCAGTGAAGGGCACTACAGACATGATGGGCTGAAGGGCCACTTCTATAAACATAGACATAGAATCCCTACAGTGTGGAAACAGGCCCTTTGACCCAAAATGTCCACACTGACCCTTGGAGCATCCCACCCAGACCCATCCCCTTGTAACCCACCTAATCTACACATCCTGAACATTATGGGCAATATAGCATGGCCAATCCATCTAGCCTGCACATCTTTGGACTGTGGGAGGAAACCAGAGCACCTGGAGGAAACCCATGCAGACATGGGGAGAATGTGCAAACTCCACAGACAGTTGCCTGAGGGTGGGATTGAACCTGGGTCCCTGGTGCTGTGAGACAGCAGTGCTAACCATTGAGCCACCATACTGTCCCCTTCTATGTTGTATGATTCTCAGAAGTGGAGTTGAGGTATCGATCATCTCTGCTATAACTGAGGGTCTGCCTTGTTTTCTTCTGATCCTATGCTCCCCTTCCAGCAAGACAGTGGGGTATTGGTAATGACTCTGGACTAGTATTCCAGAGGACTAGGCTAATGCCCTGTGGAAATGAGTACAAATCCCACCATGGCTGCTGGTGGAATTTAAATTCTATTAATAAAGTTTCCTCCTTTCACTAAGGGAATGGATTTCGAGGGCCCAATGTGTAGGTGGGTGTGTGGGAAAGATGCCTGGTGTGTCTTCAGTCCCTCTGAATGAAGGGAAGGATGGATGAGGAGTGTGGAAACTAATTCCATTATATTTACATGGAATGCAGAGGGAGGAGACTGGATAGGATGAAGCTTTCTTCGTTGACCTCAGAGATCTCCTATGTAGACAATGACAAGAATCAGATATGTGTGGGCTCGTGCACGCGTGTGTGTGCCCATTTCTGCCCGTGCGTGTGCAAATGCCCTTGTGTGTGGGATTGGAGGAGACTTCCTGACTCTTACACCATTGGAAATGTTTGGCTAATCAATCTGACATCCCCAAAAATTCTGCATGTGCTCACTTTGTGAAGTGCCCTGCCAGTAAGAAACATGGTGGCGCCCAACTAAGCACATTGAATATGAGCAGGTGGGATGGAATGACTGGCAAAGGGGTACTGAGTGTGCACTTCACATGTGTACAAAGAGTGTCAGAAGACATTCCCAAAGGATTTACAGATTGAAAATCGACCCGTTTTGTTGTGTTATGTTCGGATAGGGCTTGAACCCAGAGTTTCTGGGTCAGTGATAGAGATGCCATCCAATGCACCACAAGGCCTCTGTTTTTTTTTTACTCGGAATATATTTATTTACAGAATGAAACATTACAGATATATATATAACGTAACTCCGATACCCACAAGGCCTCTGAACGATCAGGTATGGATTCTATTAACTAAAGCCTGTTGGATTTGAAGCCGTCGTCAAAAGCAAAGATTTGAGCAAGATTCTAAGATTTCAACCTTTAAGTGAAGAATTATTTCCTTGCCTCACTACTTAAAACATGAAGTGGATGAAAAGACAGGAAAAAATTCCAGTCCTCGGTATATCCCTTTCATCCCTTGATTTAAATGAGAATGTGAGTCACAATGTTATCTTTTCTGATTTGTATTCTAATTATGGTGGTTCCACAGTAGACTACATCACAATTCAATGTGGATACTTAACAGCCTTGAAATAAAGGACAAAGTTTAATGTTTGTTCATCAAAAATAATCAATTGGAAGAAATGGTCCTTTTTGAGCATGCATAATTTTAAACTGCAAACAGGTTTGTAATGTAGGCAAAAGGCAATCAGCTGTGAATCTCTAATCTGGAGCAGAGGGGTGTGAAATTCTCTCGTCAGGTGTGAAATTGGAGAAAGCAGATGCTGTTTGTGTTCAAGGCATTTCATGTTAACATTAAAAACCAGCCAATTTCCTGCCGAGAAGTAACCTGACAGGCAGAGAACTGAAGTTTGAGGACCAAAACCTTTCTCAGTCTCTTGATGTTCGGCTGCTGTGTTTTGGAAGTGTCACTGGTTCACTCACTGCCGCGAGACAGAGATATCCAGCCCGATGCCTTTGGTTTCAACTGCTTCCCAGAACCTGTCTGATACTTGTCTCCTCCAATAGCAAATACTAGCCAGACTCCAGTCAGATATATTCACAGCATACACACAGATACACAGGTGAAGGACACTGTTTAGTTAAGTAACCAGAGCATATAAAAAGTGAGACTGCTGGGACATTGGTAGGAGCCAGACATATGAAATACTGCATCCTGTAAATAAACCAACTATTATAGGATTTGCATCCAATGATCCAATAAAAAAGGGAATTAGTGATAATCCAAATTTTTCTTTTGGTTCAACTGAGATTATAAATCTTTGGTGGTTTACAGCCTCTTGTCCTCTTGCTGTGCATGCTGAAGAGAAGCAGTGTCCCTTCAGTCACCATCACTGAAAACAGATCACCCTGGCCACTCATGTTGAAATTTCTTGTGCGTTACTTTGTTGCTCTATTTGCCTGTGAGCAACAGCGAGCCCTTGTGTCTCAAATGCATGTAAATATAGTCTTGTATGCATAAGAAATGTCTTTGGTTTGTTTGGATAGAGTCAAACTCCAAAGTTTGTTTGTTTCCTTGATATGCTACTAAACAGAACTGAACTGCATTTGTGCCTATGTATATTTATAAAGATTTTTTTATGAATAAAGTATATTTTTGAAAAAAAAGCAGTGAGCCCTTGTTATAAGAAGTATTTAGTTAGCTATGAGGCATCTTTTTTTCATTCATTCACACTAAATGAGCATTGCTGGCTAGGCCAGCATTTATTGTCCATCCCTAATTGCCTCGAGGGCAGTTAAGAATCAACCACATTGCTGTGGGTCTACAGTTGCGTGTAGGCCAGACCAGGTAAGGATGGCAGATTTCCCTCCCTAAAGGACATTACTGAACCAGGTGGGTCTTTCCCCAATACTCAGCAATGGGTACATGATCATCATTAGATTCTTAATTTGATTTTTCTATTGAATTCAAATGCCTCCATCTGCCATGGCAAGATGTGAACCTTGGTCTTCAGAATATTACCTGGGCTTCTGGACTAACAGTCTCGTGGTAATACCACGGGGCTATTGCGTCGCCTTACGGCTAACCTGAGGATACAATAAGGTGCTATTAAATTTGAGGTTTTAATCTTTCTTTCTTTGATATTTCAGATAGCGGTTATTGAAGCTTCTTCAGCTCTTAAAATCTGATTGTTGCATTCCTGAGCCCTCCTTTATTGAATGCTGTCATACCGCTGTTAGCTCAGACCTCAAATGGAACGCCCACATCTCTTCCATCACTGAGCCTGTCTCCTAATGATAATTTGCCTTTCACCATTTCCCTTTCTCTCCTTCAGCCTTTCACCATCTTCTCCCATCATAATGTGTCTCCTCCTATGGGATCACCTCATCTGCCTTAATAACACACTGCGAGACAATATTGATAAATCAACGTGGTTAACAGAAATCAGATATGTTCTGGTACAATAATTGGCATTAACCTGTTTAAAATATCCCACAAGCGCTGGATTGACTCATCAGACAGGATCTAAGTTTGATTAGGTTATAATGACCATCAGAGATGTTATCAATGCAATTTAAACTCATCAATTCAGATGTATGTACAGAAATACTTAGCAGATCTTTGACTTTCATAATTACTTCAGTTTATTCCATTAACAGTTGATCTTTACAGAGAATCCCATGCAGCAGACTTTACCTCATAAATGCTGATGTTGTATCTGCCAGCGTTTGCGATAACTGGGGCATTGTCATTGACATCAACGGCTGTGATGGTTAGAATGTGATTCGTTCTCCGAGGACGTAATCCATTGTCCAGGGCCTGAATCTGAAAGAAAAGGAAAAGTCATATCCTCTAGGGCTGTAGATGTTGGTCGCTGCTGCTTGGACCCTGATGGGCTGAATGCATTGGGAGTCAAGACCCACTATTTTGTGAGCCATCACAAAAATGTATAAATGGCCAACTGAATCACTATGATGGTTAAATTGGCTGACTTTGACTGCTATCTGGGACAAAAGAAACTCACACCAGGTTTCAATAATAAACAAAAAAAAACCAAAACTTATTTATGATAAACCAATATATGCTTTAACAAGGTGCAAAACAGATTATTAATTACTACAATGCAAACTTAAGCTATTCCCACTTTAAATCCTAACACGCACGTTCAATCACAAATAGGACATTAAAGGCTGATGGTTCTGCAGAAACACTATGTGGGGAACACAGACAAAAAGGAAGACATTTATCAGGAGTCCAAACCTCAAGAGTAGAATGGGGTGACTTTCTCACGGGTCCTTCCATGTTTTTGTTTGGCAATGATATCCTGTTGTTTTTGTCCGCAGAAGACTCCCAATTCTTTTTTTCATAGAATCCCTACAGTGTGGAAACAGACCCTTTGGCCCAACAAGTCCACACCCACCCTCAGAACATCCCACCCAGACCCATCCCCCTATAACCCACCTAATCTACACATCCCTGGGCACTATGGGCAATTTAGCACTGCCAATCCACCTGCCCTGTGCATCTTTGGACTGTGGGAGGAAACCAGAGCACCTGGAGGAAACCCACGCAGACACAGGGAGAACGTACAAACTCCACACAGTCACCCGAGGGTGGAATCGAACCCGGGTCCCTGGTGCTGTGAGGCAGCAGTGCTAACCACTGAGCCACCGTGCCATCTGCAGCTGGTCAGTTGGGCCTAGGTATTTGCTTGAGTTAGACATTCTATTTTTTAGTGTCTTTGAATACTGCTTTTCTCCTGCTCACAGAGGATGAGAGAGACAGAGACCTGACTTGAGGAAGGGTCGCCAGACCCGAAATGTTAACTCTGTTTTTTCCTTCACAGATGCTGCCTGAGCTTTTCCAGCAACTTTGTTTTTGTTGTTGTTGATGTTGTTAGAGACCTGACTTCATCTGCAGGCTTTCCAGGGCTCTGAGTGAAACTGCTTGCTCTTAGGTCAATGACACACTGTAACTTATCCCCGAAAGCTGTTGCTAGGTAGTTTTCCAATTCACCGAGACTCCTGGAGCCTGCTTCTCCCACAGAACCCAGCATCTCCCAAAGTTATGTGATCTTCTGTGACCAATAAGTGAATATACAGTTCTATGCTAAATAAAAACTGGAAGAACTGCAGATGCTGTAAATTAGGAACAAAAATAGAAGTTGCTGGAAAAGCTCAGCAGGTCTGACAGCATCTGTGAAGAACAAAATCAGAGTTAACTTTTTGGGTCTGGTAACCCTTCCTCAAAAGTGTTAACTCTGAAACGTTAACTCTGATTTTTTTCCTTCACAGATGCTGCCAGACCTGCTGAGCTTTTCCAGTAACTTCTATTTTTATACCATACAGTTCCAACTTTACCTTTTGGAGTTGTTAAAAATAAAACAACTGGTTCATTCTCTGTGACACAGCAATGTTCAAATGTCCATTTCTCCCAATTTACATATCCAAAGGAATACATGTAGTCATGCTCATTTAGGAAAATACCATTCTTAAGTAATCTCCTTGCCAAAGGTATGATTTTCTTCAGGACTCCTCCTCATCGGTCACAATAACTTCCATGGAAACTGGCAGATTTATCTGGGTTACTCCGAATTTCCAAACAAGTTACACTGACTGTTCAGAGAGAAAGTTTAAGGGGATGAACAGTTTGTCATGTGAGGACTCTGGATCTGTACTTGATAGAGTTAAGAAGGCTGGCGGGGGGAGGATTTCATTAAAACTTACAGAATACTGAGAGGGCTGGATAGAAGGGACATGGAGAAGGTGGTTCCAATAGTAGCAGAGACGAAGACCCAAGGGAACAGCATCAGAGTGAAGGGACAACCGCTTAGAATTGAGGTGAAGAGGAATGTCTTCAGCCAGAGGGTGGTGAATCAGTGGAACTCATTGCTGCGGAGGGCTACGGAGGCTGAGTCATTGAGTGTATTTAAGACCGAGATAGATAGGCTCTTCATTGGTAAGAGGAGCAGGAGAATGGGATTGAGTAAAAAAAGTCAGGCATGACTGAATGGTGGAGCAGGCTTGATGGGCCAAATGGCTTAATTCTGCTCCCATTTCTCTGATGTTTTGTTCTAAATCCATGGCTTAAAAACCTTGAAATAAAAACAAAAAACTGAGGAGTTTTGAGGAAGGGCCACTATTCCTGAAACATTAATTCTGATTTCTCTCCACAGATGCTGCCAGACCTGATGAGCTTTTCCAGCAATTTCTGCTTTTGTTTCTGATTTCCAGCATCCGCGGTTCTTTCAGTTTTTATTTTGCTTAAAAATCGCGACTGCTTTTAACATCAGGGCATGTCAGAAAATGTGTCAAAACTTGTGCATAGTCTTCTCGGGGTTTTCTCATTGCAGCTTTCTGTCCCACGTTCAGGATCAGGGACCATGACTGACTGCCCCTCCCCACGACGCTGGTTATGGGTTTTCTACTGCTTCTCAGCCCAGTTGTGGCAGTGCGGATCGGTGTCAAAGCTGGGGTCATTCTGACGCCCAAGGGCCAGCTATTTGCTGAATCTATTAGGGGAAGCTATTGATGGGAATGTTTTCCTATGAGCTCCGACCATAGCACAGGGTTATCGATATTGTTGATAAGGAGAGTAAACAGAGGCAGTTTTCCAGAATCCAAAATAGAGGTCACTGAAGGCTGGAAGTGCTTTCCATTCTAGCACTTAAGCATGTTGCTAAAATAACACTGCTATCTATAGGAGCAGAAGTAGACCATTCAGTCCATCAAGTCTGTTTCTCCATTCAATGAGATCATGGCTGATCTGATAATACTCAGCTCCATTTTCTTGCCTTTTCCTCGTATCCCTTGATTTCCTTACTGATTAAAAGCATAATACAAGGAACAGCAGCAGGCAATTCAGCCCCTCAAATCTGTTCCACCAAATCATACGATAATGGCTGATCTCACCTCAGCCTTAACTGCACTTTCCTGCCCACTCTCCAAAACCCTTACTTCCCTTACTAATTAAACATCTTCTATCTCAGCCTTAATGACCCAGCCTCAACAGCCCTCTGTGGTAAAGAATTTCACAGATTCACTACCCTCTGAGAAAAGAAATATTTCCCCCATCTCTGTCTTAAATGGGTGACTCCTTACTTTGAGCTTATGCTCTCCGGTCCTAGGGTCCTCTATAAGGGAAAACAACCTCTCCAGTGCTATCCTGTCAAGTCCCCCAAGAATGTTCTAGGATTTTCCAGTTCTGGACTCATATTGCTAATTCTGTTTCTCTCTCCACCGACGCTGTCAGACCTGCTGAGTTTCTCCAGCACTTCCTGTGTTTACCCCTAACTATCTTGTGTGTTTAACTTCTTATGAAGGATGTGCGTAAGAAAAAGACAGCTCTTGTTGCTTTTGAGTTGTGACATCGTCACTGAATTACCAAGCATCAGTGAGTAACCTCGCTAAGTAAGCAAGGACCAACGACGTGAACTATCTTCATGAATTTACCACCTTATCTTTAGATAAATGGTTGCACAGTGAAAGCCAATGAACTTACCGTCAAAGTGTATCGATCAGTCTGTTCTCTATCCAAATGCTGAGCAAGGTAGATCTCTCCACAGTTACTGTCAGCTGTGCTAATCTTGAATGTTTTGTTCATATTTCCAGACAGAATGGTGAAGTTAACCTGCAGGGTTTAAAAAAGACAACATTATTTTTGTGTGATATTGATGGAAATGGATAATTGACATCTAGGTTAAAAAGAAAACTGAGAGGATGATATTTGGGCTCAAAGCCTTCGCAACATGCAATGACTTCAGCCATTTCTGAATAGCATTTCGAGTCAATCAAATCAGTGGAAGACTGGTATCTGTGGTGCTGGGGATCTTTAGAGGAGGCAGAGCTGGATCATCCACTCAGCACGGCCAGCTAAAGATTGCTGTAAATGTTTCAGCCCCACCTTTTGCACTGATGTGCTGGGAATCCCCATCATGAGGGTGGGGCTATATGTGAAGAATTCTTTTACAATGAGTTGTTTAATTTTCTACACCATTCATGACTAGATTTCCTGATTGTCCTTTCACTCGCTCTCTTTCCTCCTGCCACTACTCCTAAGTTGATTCATAACATGGACATGAGCAATACAAACTGTTTGGCTTAGCTGAGCTGAAATCAACTGTCTTTTTTTTAACCGTGTGTGTAGATATTTTCGAATCAACCTGTTCAGAGATGTTATTACACACCCCTGGAGCAAGTATATTACTAATTGATCACCTGGGTGACATTGCCTAAGAATAATCTTGAGTCTGGAGCACGGTTGTAACTCTCCACTGCAAAGCTGAGCACTGTCCAAAGCCTCTCCTTCATAGAGATACAGAGTTGTACAGACCCTTCCGTCCAAATCATCCATGCTGTCCAGATATCCTAAACTGATCTAGTCCCATTTGCCAGCATTTGGTCCATATCCCTCTAAACCCTTCCTATTCACACACCCTTTCAGATGCCTTTTAAATGTTGTAACTTTATCAGAATCCACCACTTCCTCTGGCAGCTCATTCCATACACGAACCACCCTCTGCATAAAAATGTTGCCCCTCAGGTCCCTTTTAAATCTTTCCCCTCTCATCTTAAACCTATGCCCTCTAGTTTTGGACTCCTCTACCCTGTGGAAAAGACCTTGGCTATTCACCCTACCCATGACCCTCATGATTTTATAAACCTCTATAAGGTCATCTCTCAGCCTCTGCCACTCCAGGGAAAATTGCCCCAGCCTATTCAGCCTCTCCCTAGAGCTCAAGCTCTCCAATCCCAGCAACAGCCTTGTAAAGCTTTTCTGAACCCTTTCAAATTTCACAACATCCTTCCTATAGCAAGGAGAGCAGAACTGCACACAGTATTCCAAAACTGGCCCAACCAATGTCTTGTACAGCCGCAACATGACCTCCCAACTCGTATAATTAATGCACTGACCAATAAAGGCAAGCGTGTCAAATGTAGAACAAGGAGAGGCTATTTATTGTCAGCACTTGGAAGATTCTTGAGGTTAACAGCTGTTTGCTGATATGACAGGTTCCAGATGCAAACCAGGTGGGAAAATCCCGTTTTGTGACAGAATGAAGTGTTGCTTACCATTCCATTCTTCCCCGCATCCAGATCATGAGCAAAGACAACAGCCACACGCCTCCCAATAGCAACATCCTCTGGAATGTCCACAGAAGAATCGGAAGTGGCATCGAACACTGGGCTGTTGTCGTTTTCATCTTCAATAGTAATAATCACCTGTTAGATTATAAGTGAGATAGCAAATGAACACAAAGGCCATTAGGGAAAATGGTCACTTAATTCATTCAACCTGCTTCACTGAAAGCGCGTGGATGTTACTCTGTTCCTGTTTATTCCCGACTTTGATGGGAATCTAGGAATTTATTTTCCTCATGCGTGAAAAGTATTGCGAATATCTTCACAAATCTTGGTTCCCCTTTTTAACCAGACTTCCATACAGCACATTCTAAAGGTGGAATGTTACTTGTGATCAATCATCTTCCCTCCACCTTGTTTTTAATTAATTCAGAGTTGCATGTATCGCTTGTAGGGCCAGCCTTTACTGCCCATCCCCAAGTGACCTTGAGAAGGTGGTGGTGAACTGAATTCTTGAACTGCAGTCCATGTAATGTAGATTTTCCTATGATGCTGTAAAAAACAATGTTGACCTGATGACAATAAAGGAACAGCAACTTATTTCCAAGTCAGAATGACGTATGACTTGGAGGGGGAGCCTGCAGGGGGTGGTATTCTCATGCTGCCCTTGTCCCTCTAGGTGGGAGAGGTTGTGGGTTTGGAAGATTTGTCCTTAGAAACCTTGGTGAGTTATTATAGTGCATCTTGTAGATGGTACACATTACTGATGAGGTGGTAATTGTCTGCAACAAAAACAGAAGTTGCTGGAAAAGCTCAGCATGTCTGGCAGCATCTGTGAAGAAAAAATCAGAGTTAACGTTTCGGGTCCGGTGACCCTTCCTCAGAAGAGCTCTCCAAGCAACTTCTGTTTTCGTTCCTGATTTACAGCATCCGCAGTTCTTTCGGGTTTTTATTTGGTGCTAATTATCTGGGTTGGGTTTGCCCTGCTTTGTGGATACAAATTACATCTGGTAGATGCCAGTGTTGTCACTGTACCAGAACGGCTTGGCTAGGGGATCAGCTAGTTCTGAAGAGTGAGTCTTCAGTTCCATTGCTGGAATATTGCAGTATCAAGTACCTACTGCCATTTCTGAATATCACGTGAAGTGAATCAAAATGGGTTGATGGACTGGCATCTGTGGCACTAGGGTCCTCAGGAGGAGGCCGAGATGGATCATCCACTTGGTGCTTCTGGCTGAAGATTATTGCAAATGCTTCACTTGACCTTTTGCACTGAGGTGTTGGGCTCTCCCATCATTGAGGACGGGGAGATATGTGGATCTTTCTGTTACAACATATTGTTTAATTGTCCACAACCATTCATGACAGGATGCTACAGGGTTGAAGAGTCTAGATATCTGACCCGTTGGTGCAGGATTACTAGACTTTATGCTGCTTGGTATGCAATTACTCCTGTGTTGTAGCTTCACCAGGTTGACACCTCACTGTTAGGTATGTCTGATGCTGCTCCTGGCATACCCTCCTGGACTCTCCATTGAAGCAGGGTTGATCCACTAGCATGATGGCAATGTTACAGTGGGGGATATGCTGGACCATGAGGTTATAGATTGTGTTGGGAGTATGATTCAGCTGCTGATAATGACCAACAGCACCTTGTGGATGCCCAGTCTTGAGTTTCCAGAAAAAAAGGGTAATGGTTGATGAATGCTTTTGTGAATAGCATTAATTTTCAATGGTATTCTCCAGGGCTCAGTGTTGTGTGCCATGCTATTTGTGGTATATATTAATGACTTAGACTTGAATATGGGAGGCCGGATTGAGAAATTTCCAGACGACCAAAAATTTAGCCATGCAGTTAATAGTGAAGAGGATAGCAGTTGACTGCAAGATGCTAGCAGTTGTTTAGTTGAGTAGGTGAAAGTGGCAAATAGAATTTAATCCAGAGAAGTGCAAAGTTGTGCATTTGGGGAGGAGACACACAGCAAGGGAATACACAATAAACAAGAGGGTATTCATAGGGATGGAAAAAGTGAGAGAACTTGGAGCTCATGTCCATAGCTCCATGAAGGTGGCGGGATAGGCAGAGAAGGTAGTAAAGAAGGTATACAGGTTGCTTCCCTTCATTGTAAAAATGCAATACCTCATCCAAAAGCAGGAACGTAATGCTGAAACTATATAGGGCACACACAGACAGATACAAACACATATACATGACACACACACATAAACACACACACACACAACAGTCACAGACACAAACACACACACACACACACACATACACACACACACACACTCTTAGTCGACGTGGAAAGGATGTTTCCTCTCATGGGAGAATCAAGACTAGGAGTCACTAAGGATAATCAATTTAAAACAAAGATGAGGCTAAAACATTTCTCTCAGAGGGCTGAGTACCTTTGGAACTCTCTTCCTGAAATGGTGGTGGAAGCAGAGTCCTTGAATATTTTAAAGGTCGAGGTGGATAGATTCTTGTTCAGTGAGGGGTTGAAAGACTGTCTGGGGTAGGTGGGAGTCCTTCAGGACTTGACAAGCTCAGTCAATTGTAATGACTCACCAACAGTGGTGCTGGTGATGGACATTGAAGTTAATGTGCATTCTATGCCCTGGCCACCCTCAGTACCTCCATCAATATGGAGGAGCACTCATTCATCAACAGAGGGATGAGGGGGTGTGTTTGGTACATGATGTTCACCAGGAGGTTTCATTGATTATGTTTGACTATGGGACATCACAGGGATCGAAGTCAATGATGAAGACATTCAGAGCAACTCCTTTCCAGCTGAAGACCACTGGGCTAGCTCCTCTGGGACAATCTGGGTGTTCAGGTCCATTGTACCCTGAAGGTGGCAACGCAGGTCAATACAGTGGTCAAGAAGGCATACGGCATGCTTTCATTCATCGTACGGGGTATTGAGTCCAAGAGTTGGCAGGTCATGTTACAGTTGTATAGGACTTTGGTTCGACCACATTTGGAATACTGCGTACAGTTCTGGTCGCCACATTACCAAAAGGATGTGGATGCTTTGGAGAGGGTGCAGAGGAGGTTCACCAGCATGTTGCCTGGTATGGAGGGTGCTAGCTATGAAGAGAGGTTGAGTAGATTAGGATTATTTACATTAGAAAGATAGAGGTTGAGGGGGACCTGATTGAGGTCTACAAAATCATGAGAGGTATAGACAGGGTGGATAGCAAGAAGCTTTTTCCCAGAGTGGGGGACTCAATTACGAGGGGTCACGATTTCAAGGTGGGAGGGGAAAAGTTTAAGGGAGATATGCGTGGAAAATTCTTTTATGGAGAGGGTGGTGGGTGCCTGGAACTCGATGCCAGCGGAAGAGGTAAAGGTGGGCATGATAGCGTCATTTAAGATGTACCTAGACAGATACATGAATGGGCAGGGAGCAGAGGGATACAGATCCTTGGAAAATAGGCGACAGGTTTAGATAGAGGATCTGGATTGGCGCAGGCTTGGAGGGCCGAAGGGCCTGTTCCTGTGCTGTAATTTTCTTTGTTCTCTGTTCTTTGATGACAGTGGTGTCTGAAACATTTTCTGTATCTTGCCTCCAGGGAGGAAGGAGATCAGGTAGTGGGGGATGGGGTGGGTTGGTGAATGCACTCACCTGTGTATCTGTTGCGCATGAATTTTTAAATTCATTTGGGGGATGTGGGTGTCGCTGGCTAGCCTGCATTTATTGCCCGTCCCTAGTTGCCCTTGAGAAGGTGGTGGTGAGCTGCCTTCTTGAACCGCTGCAGTCCACCTGCTGTGGGTTGACCCACAATGCCTTTAGGGAGGGGAATTCCAGGATTTTGACCCAGTGGCAATGAAGGAACGGTGATGTATTTCCAAGGCAGAATGGTGAGTGGCTGGGAGGGGAACTTGCAGGCGGTGGCGTTCCCATGTGTCTGCTGCCCTTGTCCTTCTGGATGGAAGTGGTTGTGGATTTCGAAGGTGCTGGTCTGAGGATCTTTGGTGAATTTCTGCAGTGCATGTTGTTGGTAGTACACACTGCTGTTACTGAGTGTCAGTGGCGGAGGGAGTGGATGCTTGTAGACGTGGTGCCAATCAAGCGGGCTGATTTGCCCAGGATAATGACGAGCTTCTTGAGTGTTGTTGGGGCTGCACCCATCCAGGCAAGTGGGGAGTATTCCAACACACTGCTGATCTGTCCAGTAGGAGTCACAACCACACAGTCCTTTTACAGAGCTGTGTGTTTCATTGTGATTGTCAGTGCCTTCGCTAATGTCACTAAATCCATCTGGGGGTTTCATTCCTTTTAATCAGACCTTGTCATGGAGCTGAGAACCTGCTTTGTTTGCTCGGTCATTTAAAAGTGGGCCTGGAGTCACACATATAGGGTCAGGCTAGGTATGGGCAGCAGATTTTCCTACTTAAAGGACATTAGGATTTCGACAGTAATTTCATGGCCATCATGAGACTGGCTTTTTTGTTCAAATTCCAGATTTTTCTAAACTGAATTCAGACTTCCCCAGCTGGGATCCAAACCCTCAGTCTCTGGATGAATAGTCCAGTGACATCGCCATAAAATCACTGCTAACGTTCCCTCTGAGCTTCTGTGCACAGCAAATGCCATCAGCATCAGCCATGCCAAAGGTCACTGCCACCTGGACTTCAGAGGCCCACACCGAGAGAAAGAACATTCCAGGGAATACCGGTTACCACTTCCCCTTCATATCAGTCTGAAGCATTGTCAAGTTCTCAGTTCTCCATTATTGCTTTTAGATGTTCCCCTGTTGCGTTTTATAATTTGGAGGCAAAGACAAAATCCTCAGCATGTGTCACGCTGTGACCAGTGAAGGCACGTTCATGGTGTGCCGGGGACTGAGATCGTGCTGAACGTGGCACAGTGAAGCAGCTTTCGCCTGACACCACACCATCTGAGGGCGAAGGGCGAAGGGAAATTTTCAGACAAGTCAGCCCACTGGTAGGGGAGTATCGCAAATCCTGGAAAATGGCTCTGTCTGCCAGTCAGTTCATGGGTTAGATGCTTGGCTTGGGAAGGAAGAGGTGGGAAAGGGAAAGTAAGAAAGTGAAGTGTGAACAGATACCATCGCTTGGCAGGTTTCAGTTTGAGGATGGATCAAAACAACATTGAAAACTTGTATCGCTTTAATGCAGTAGGTTGATCCAAGTGGCATTTACCCGGTGACAGAACTTGACGCTGAGCTACATAAGGAGACACAAGGACAAGTGACTCCAAGATTGGTCAAAGACATGGGTTTTGAAGAGCATCATAAAGAAGGAGGACAGCATGGTGGCTCAGTGGTTAGCATGGCTGCCTCACAGCACCAGGGACCCGGGTTCAATTCCACCCTCGGGCGACTGTCTGTGTGGAGTTTGTACATTCTCCCCATGTCTACGTAGGTTTCCTCTCGGTGCTCCAGTTTCCTCCCACAGTCCAAAACTGTGCAAGTTAGGGTGGATCAGCCATGCCAAATTGCCCTATAGTGTGCAGGGTTAGCTGTGGTAAGTGCAAGGTTACCAGGATAGGGTGGGGGATTGAGTCTGGGTGGGATGCTCCCTGGAGGGTCAGTGCAGACTCAATGGGTCAACTGGCCTCTTTCCACTCTGTAGGGGTTCTATGAAATGGAGAGATTCAGGGGCCCAGAATTCTAATGCAGACCTTCATTCACAGCTGAGGGAGTAGAAATTAACATCAGAGTATTTGGCTTCTTGTCACTTTGGCCTCCACACTGTGCATGAAGCAGTATCTGTGACCACTAATAATACTTTTGCAAATGGTTCCACATGTCTCAAGCTCTAGATATTAAAAAAGACCTTGATGTTTTGACCTGGCAACAGGCCTAAGAATTCATAGATTCATACAGCACAGAAAAGGCCCTTCAGCCCATCAAGTCTGCACTTACATAACTACCACTAAAAGTGCTCTAATCCCAATTTCCTGTACTTGTCCCATATCCCTGAATGTTATGATATTTGAAGTGCTCATCCAAATATTTTTTAATGGCTGTAAGGTTTCCAGCCATTCACTATCTTCCCAGACAGTGCATTCCAGATTCCCACCACCTGCTAAGTGAAAAAGCTTTTCCCCAAGTCCCTTCTAAACCTCCTGCCCCTTACCCTAAAACTATGCCTTCTCATGAGTGACCCCTCAACCAAGGGGAACAGCTGCTCTCTATTCACCCTGCCCATATCCCTCACAACCTTGTACACCTCAATCATGCCCCCCCCCTCAGTCCTCTCTGCTTTAAATAAAACAATACAAACCCATCTAGTCTCTCCTTATAGCTCAACTTCTCCATCCCAGGCAACATCCTAATGAACCTCCTCTGGACCCCATCTAGTGCCTTCCCAAGCATCTAGTCTGACCAAAATCAGGACAAATAAGCAAGAACCGTGAGGGCAAACGGAGCGGAGTTTCTTGGCCTTCAGACTGAAATTTAGAATTTCAGTTGCTACGAAGGAAGGCAATAATGAAGGAAGTTTCTCTCCTTCAGTTACCACACAAGTTGCTTCTCTCATTCTTTTATTTCAACTCCCGCTTTAAAAAAATCGATTTAAATATTACTCATTGAAATTGCAACTGGGGAACAACAAATTAAGGTCAACCAGGAAGATCAGCTGTCTGTTGCAACAGGAAGCTTGAGGATGCCACAAGACAGAATTAAAACAGAAAATGCCCCTTTGTACCTCATTGCAGAAAATAGATAAATGGTATCACACACATGCAGAGAGGCAAGGAGGGATATGGAGCAGCTTATTTTGTCTCACTGAAACACCTCTGAATTCAGCAAATCTCGACCACGTAGGAAATCAACTTTTAAGGTGCAAAATGTCTGTCACAGAATGAGGCCATTCAGTCCTCCACATGTTCATGCCAGCTCTCCAGATGCTGCTCAACTGGTCCCACCTCTCCCCACTCTGTAAACACTCTCTCTCCATAGATAATGATCCAATTCCCTTTTGAAAACCACAACTGTTTTGGCATCTTTCACACTCAATGTATTCCAAACTCAATCTATGTTTTGTGATTCTGTAGATAAACTCGAATCCCTTAATAAATGCAAACCAATTTGATAATGACACACAAACATTTTTTAGTGCTTCTGTAACATTGCTTCATTTTCTGTTCACAGAATCCCTACAATGTGGAAGGAGGCCATTCGGTCCATCAAGTCTACACCTCTGTTATAATCAAACTCAATACGGGGCTAAATAAATTCCAATCCTAAACACTGCTCCCATCATTTCAGCACCAGCTACTGGTTTTGGCTCCACAGTTGCCACCAACAGCAACTTATAGATCCATCTTTTTGTTTGTCACTCATCCCAGTACCTCACACCATCACCCCTCTCATCAGTTAATCATTTCTACCTCAGTCTGACACAGAGCCTCCTGCCTCCTCTTTTCACCCCTCTCTGACCTCCCGCGTCAGCAGAAGTGACCTGGAACTCACCCACTGCCCATGAAGGTGGGGGCAACGGAGGTGATCAATGACTTCAGGACAAAACTGGATGGTCACATGAGGGAAAGGATCTCGCGAGACTGCAGAGGATAGAGTAGGGGGAATGAAACTGACTGGATCGCTCTACAGAGTGGCAGCATGGGCTGGATGGACTAAATCACCAAACTCTGTGATGTGATGATCCTGTGATGACTTCACCACCCCCCTCTCTCCCCAAAACACTTGCTTAAAAGCAGCCACATCTCTATAATTTTTTGATCCGAATGAAAGGTCACAGGCTTGAAATGTCAATTCCCTTCCTGTCTCAGCTGTGACCCACGCAGGGGTACACGGCCAAGGTCAGTAGCTTTGTTTGCCATTTCTGAGGCTTGAATGAGAAAATCCAAGCTGACCCTCCAGTGCAGGACTGAGGGAGTACCACATGGCTGGCGGCACGTCTTTTGAGTGAGAAGTTCCACTGAGCTCCTTTCTGCCCTCGTAGGTGGACACAAAAGATTCCACAGTGCTACTTAAAAGAAGAGCAGGTGAGGAATCTGCATTGTAACAGCTAAATACTGTAGATGCTGGAGATCTGAAATAAAGGTGGAAAATGCTGAAGAAGCTCAGCAGGTCTGGCCACATAGGTGGACAGAGAAACAGAGTTATTGTTTCAGGTCTGAGGAGTTCTGAGGAAGGGTCACCGGACCCAAAACGTTAACTCTGTTTTTTCCTTCACATATGCTGCCAGACCTCCTGGGCTTTTCTAGCAACTTTGTTTTTGTTCCTGATTTACAGCATCCACAGTTCTTTTGGTTTTTAACAGAGTTATCATTTCAGGTCTGGTACAACTCTTTGTCAGAATAACGGGAGCAGTGTACTGAAGAATAGTCATATCAGACTCGAAACATTAACTCTGTTTCTGTCTGAGATTGTAGACTTGCTCGCTGAGCCGGTGTGTTTAGTTGCAGACTAACATTGTCAGTGTGCCTCCGGTGAAGCGTTGGTGTTCTGTACCACGTGTTATTTATATGCCCCGGTTTGCTGGGGCGGTTGGTATTAGTTCTGTTTGGCATCACTTCCAGTTTTGTTTTTCAGTGGTTTGTACATTGGGTCCAGTTCAATGTGTTCGTTGATGGAGTTCCGGTTGGAATGCTGTTACCTTCGTGACAGATCACAACAAGAAGACACAACACGGCCAGACAACACCAGTCACCCTACTGTACATCAGAGACATATCAGAGATGACCATAAAGTTACTCAGGCGCCTAGGTATGAGAGTAGCCCACAAATAACAACCACCCTGTGACAGCTACTGACGAACATAAAGGATCCCATACCCACAACCAATAAAGCTAATGTAATATACAAAATAACATGCAAGGACTGTGAGAAACATTACATAGGCCAAACGGGAAGAAAACTGACAATGAGGATACACGAACACTAATTAGCCACCAAGAGGCACAACCAATTCTCACTGGTCTCAATACACAAGGACAAAGAAGGACACAAATCCGACTGGGACAACACATCCATAAAAGCACGAGCCAACCAGAGACACGCCAGTGAATTCCTGGAGGCCGGAACTCCATCAACGAACACACTGAACTGGACCAGATATACAAACCTCTGAAAAACAGAACTGGAAGTGATGCCAACCACCCCAGCAAACTGAGACATATAAATAACAAGCGGGACAGAACACCAATGCTTCACAGGAGATGTACTGATGATGTTACCGAGCACGGTGACAAAATGTCTGCAATTAAACACACCAACTTGGTGAGCAAGTCGACATCCTCATCCACAACCCGAGCCTCACATCTTCTCAAAAACTCTGTTTCTCTCTCCACAGATGCTGTTAGACCTGCTGAACCTCTTGAGTTCCCAGTGGAATCCTGACCAATATTTATCCCACAATCAATATCACAAAAAGGACGATTCCTTGCTCATTTTCACACTGCTGCTTGTGGGAGCTTGCTGTGCACAGATTGGCCTATCCCACTTGCACTGTAACAGTGACCACACTTCAAAAGTGCTTCATTGACTGTGAAGAGTTTTGTGATGGCCTGATATTGTCAAAGTCAGCACACACAATCATTATGGAGTGGCATGGTGGCTCAGAGATTAACACTGCTGCCTCACAGCATCTGGGTTCGATTCCAGCCTCGGGTGACTCCCTGCGTGCGGTTCACACATTCTCTCCGTGTCTGCGTGGGTTTCCACCAGGTGCTCTGGTTTCCTCCCACAGTCCAAAGATGCGCAGGTTAGGTAGATTGGCCACACTAAATTGCCCATAGTGTTCAAGGAAGTGCAGCCATGGGATGCAGGATTACAGGGATAGGGTAGTGGGATGAGTCTGGGTGGGATGCTTTTTGGAGGGTTGGTGTGGACTCAATGGACCAAATGGCCTGCTTCCACACTGCAGGCAATGATTCTTTGTTAGTGCAAGACCTTTAAGATGCTTAAGGGAACACAGAAAACTCTTTTCACTCACTTCTGTGGTCACTGGAATGATCCTGCCCCTTCATAGGAAATCCCGCCTGTCTTCTGAAGAGAAATTGCAACATCAGAGTGTCGGGAATTCAACATAAAGAACTGAAACAAGGATGAAATAATCAGAGAGCATCTGGGAAAGATGCCACAGTGCTTCTTCTTGGCAGAGTCTCTGATAATCATTCCTCGAGTTCTTTATACTTCTAATCACTGTTTCAACTCCCTCAGTGGCTGTAATCACTGAATCGCATTTAAATTGCTGCCTTTTATTGCTTATCTTTTGACGAGCAGATCTTTTAAACAGTGAAGATGATAAGTGCTATAGTTCTGTTCTTCAATTTTCTCAGGCTGATGTTTTGTTGTTTGTTGAAAACAGTTCGCTCCAGTGGTGGAAAAGGGGTGAGTAGAATGCAGTTTATGAGATGGTAGCTTTAAAACAGCAAAGTATTAATTTCTACAACTTCTCTTTCCTTTGATGATGTGCTAATGCAATAAACTCAGAACTGAGTGCTGTCGGTTGTTAGCTGAGGAAAATTTAATATGACCATCATTTCTGGAATGTTTTATTACAGTTGCCAGCCCTATATTCCTGGAGGAGCCCAGACTATACATATGCCTTTTCCACAGCTGGAGGCCAAAACCTCAGAATAAGTGGATAGCCATTTCAGACAAGGGTGAGAAGACCTTTCTTTAGTCTAAGGGTTCCAAATCTTTGGAACTCTCCGTCCTCAGAAAGCTGTAAATGCTCAGTTATGAGATTCATTTTAAAGATTGACAAGAGTTTTGGATACTAAGGTAATTAAGAGAAATGGGGATACTGCAAAAGATAGAGTGGCGCTGGAAGATCCACCATTGTTTAGAACAGATGTCTATGGTCTATCCTATTGTTATTTCTTATGGTACATGGAAATTAAAATGGAAGACAGACTTGAACCACATTATTATTGGTTCCATCTACGTCATAGAGCCTGAATTCTAAGCAAAATGTGTCAAACTTTAGGTTGATGCAGAATAACTACAATCGCCACGACTTGGAAATCCTCAGAGTTCCAGAAGGTCAGTGTAAAAGGTGACCATTCAGCAGACTGTACCTGTACTAGTCCAAAATGGTGGATGGAGTTGTCTACTCACTATGGCTTTGACACTTGAATATTTTAATAAGGTTTATGTGAGATTTGTAAACAATGGGCACATAGAGCAGAAAGATTCTTAAATCTTGTCTCCCAGAAAGGTGAACATTTAGCTGAAATCCTTATGAACACGAGTTGTCCCATCAAATCCTGATTGGTTCAGATGTGTGACAGCAGTATGTCTTTTTCCAGAGAAGCACAATTTTATTTTCTTAAATGACACTTTATTGATGCATTCCGGCCAGAGTTGTGTGCTTTTTAAGAGCACGATCTGAATTCCTGATAGTGTGTTGACTGTTGAATCACCTCTTGCTCAATCAGTGTCTTGGCATGCAATGTGCAATCCTGATGCCTTTTAGAGCATTTTAGAACAAAAATATTGACAACTTTCTTACTGGCATAAAATAAAAAAACACCTTGCCGGTGCACAGCGTCTTTTAAAACTTCAAGGTGCTACAGAGTACTTTACAGCCAAAGTCATACTTCCCGAAGTGTAGTACCTGCTGCCAAGTTGGAAATGATACAGTCAATTTGCACATACAAGCTCCCAAAGACATTCAGGATAATGACCAGGTCATCGTTCTATTGACAAGGGTTAACTATTGGCCAGTTGAACAGGGCACAAGTCCCTGTTCTTCAACACATTGCCCTGAGATTGTGTTGCCCTTTCCTAGTGGCCTTCCAGAAGGAGGTAGTGAGCCACCTCCATAAATCATTGTGGTCCACATGCTGAAGTTGCTGTCACAGTGATGACAGAGAGACAGTTCCAGGATTTTGACCCAGCGACAGCGAAGAAATGGTGACACATTTCCAAGTGACTTGGAGGGGAACTTGCAGGGGGTGGTGTTTCCCATTTATCTGCTGCCCTTGTCCTTCTAACTTGGGGGTTTATGAGGTGCTGTCAGAGGAACTCTACGACTTTACACGCCCAGCAGAGAGAGCAAATGTGACCCAATAACATGCAATACACAGGGTTCCACTAACACAGAACAGATTACTCCACACAAAACAGCAAATGATACACATAATTTACCTTCTGCTCATCCATGATAAGAGAAAAATAAAATAAATGATTTATTAGTCAAACATGTTACATCAATCATTTCAAAACAGAAGCAATGAAAAACGTCAATGATGTAAAATCTTAGCCGCTGCGATAACATGACTCAGTCATTTTCCCAAGAGCTTTGCTGTCTGCAATGCTGCTTCTGAAATGTTCTGAGGAAAGAGACAACCTTTTACATCAGCCACATGGCAAACATACCCCACCTGAGAAATTTTAGCAAGAAGGGTCTTGCCCTTTGCTGGATTGATGAAGCCCACAGCTCTTCCATCATTAGGCTCCCATTTTGTATTGCTGGAGCTGATGTCATTCTCAGGCATCCTGAAGACCAGTGAGAGGATGAACACCTCTGTCAATAATACAGCAGCTGGCAGGGAAGGATGGGCTGGGAGGTGCGTGTGGGGGCTTGTTAGAGTCAATGAGAAGGATCCAGAGGGGGACTGTGTAAGAGGGTGGAGAGGAGAGTTAGGAATGGGGTAGGAGTGGCTTTCGGAGGGTTTGGGGAGGGAAGCAGGAGGGGATTTGGGATGGGCCTTGGGAGATGGAGTGGGGAAAGTGGGAAGCGTTGGGAGAGAAGACAGGGAGGGTTAGGTTTGAATGATGAAGGGCAGGAGGATGGGGGTATTGGGAAGGGGAATGAAGAGGAGAGGGACGGAGGATGGGGAGTGTTAGAAAGGGAATGGGCTAGTTGAAACTGAAAGTGGTGTGTCTATATATAAGAATGGAATCGCGAATAGTACTCTGATCAGATGAGTCTACATTATAACTGTCATTTTACAAATTTAATAGGTCGATAAGCACTTACAAAATGTATTCCACACATCCTAATTTCTGGACCCATGAATCTCATTAAAATCCTGCTCCTCTCCAGGTCCCAAGAGTCCGTGGTTAGAAGACTAATGACAGCTATTGCTGACGTCATGAATTTATGAATAAAATGTGAATTTATTCTTGTTATATCATAAAATTACATGCAGTGATATTCCCTTTTGAATAAATTGTATATCCTTACCACAGTGGAGTCTTTTTTGGGTCCCCCATCGTCTGCAATGACTGTGATCAGGTAATAATCTCCCTTCTCCCGATCGATCTGACCCCGGACAGTTATCACTCCCTGTGGGAGATAACGAGAGGAGGGACAGTGATACACTCTATTCACAATCCAAACTCTTCAACAGCCTGATGCAGAACTGGGCAGGATGTTGCTGAAGTGGTAATGTCGCTGGACTAGTAATTCAGAAATCTAGCTGAATGATCTGGGGACATGCATTCAAATACCAATATGGCATAAAGTGAAATCTGAACTCAATAATAATCTGGAATTGTTTTAAAAAAATATCAGCTGGCCTAATACAGACTATGCAACATGCTGGTGGAACCACTACCTACAGCATTGTCATAAAAACCCATCTGCTTCACTTTAATGTCCAATAGGGAAGAAGGGAGTTGATTAGCTCAATTGTCTGGAGTTTGCAATACAGAGTTAATGCTAACAGTGTGGGTTCAATTCCCGCACCAGCTGAGGTTACCATGAAGGACTCTCCTTCTCATCCTTGCCCCTCAACCGAGGAATGCTGACCCTAAGGTTAAACCACCACCTGTTGTTTCTCTCTAAGTGTCGGTCTTTCAAATGGCCTGCACACAAGTATGAGAAACTGCAGATTTCCTTCCACACAGTGCAATGTTTCTAGAATAACATTTTCATCAGGGCGGAGTGATTCTTTTTGTTCCTATCATGTGATGTGGGCATAGCTGGCTAGGCCAGCATTTAATGTCCATCCCTAATTGCCCCGGAGAAGGTGGTGGTGAGCTTCCTTCTTGAACCACTGCAGCCCATGTGCTATAGGTAGATCCACAATGCTGTTAGGGAGGGAGTTCCAGGATTTTGACCCAGCGACAGAGAAGGAATGGTGATAGGGTTCGAAAGTGAGCGAGAACAAGACTTCAAGCTCAGGTAAACAGTGTGTCTGTAGTAGAATCAGTCTGACCCTGAATATAGAAACATAGAAAATTGGTGCGGGAGGAGGCCATTCAGTCCTTTGAGTCTGCACCACTGTTCAATATGATCATGGCTGATCATGCAATCCCACTACCCCAAATTGGATGGATACATTGGAATATTGGAAGAAAAGTTTATTACTCTTTGCAATGAGTTTGCAATCTCCCACCCTCTCTGTGCTTGACACCAAGAATGTGGAGATTTTTACATCTGTTCCAGAGATGAGGGTATCATTTGCTGCACAACATTGAACTGAATGGCTCGTTCGGCCATTTCAGAGGGCAGTTAAGAGTCAACAGCACTGGCATGGGTCTGGAGTCACATCTAGGCAAGATCAGGTAAGGACAGCAGATTCCCTTCCCACAAGAACATTAGAGAATCAGATGGGTGTTCTGTGTTTTGTGATAATTGACCGTGGTTACACAGCTAACATTAGGCTAGCTTAATTTTTGTTGAATTCAGATTTCACCATCTGCTATGCCCATGTCCCCAGAACATTAATCTAGGATTCTAGATTACTCACCCAACGACAACACCACCATCTCTACAAAATACTGTTTAATGAATATCTACCCCAGTACCATATACCTATAAGAAAGGAGCCCAAGACTGGGAATGAAACTCTGAATTTAAGATACCAAGAGACAGTACAGGACTACAATTGCAACATACTCACAGTAACTCTGTTTATTTGGAACAAGGACAAAGTGCGGGCAGAGGTGTCAGGGTCGAACCTATAGGTGATCAGATTCATGTTGTCAGCAGACTGAGCTTGGATCTGGACCACTTCAGTCCCAGTTGGGATGTTTTCCATTAGTGTAGCTTCATATGATGCATTTGTAAACTGCACAGGCTCATCCAACTCATTGAGCAAGGTGATGTAGACAGTGCAGTAACCTCTGTTGTACGGTGCAGCTTGATCCATGGCAGAGATATTCATGAGGTAGCTGGTCCTGGTTTCATAATCAAGGTAGTTCCCTGTGGTGATGAGGCCTGTACTCTCATCAATGGCAAACTTCTTCTCTGAGCCAGACAGGATTGTGTAGGTGACAATGCCTCCATCTCCTGGGGTGGGGAATACAAAAACAGTGGAACAGTGGATCAGGTAACATCTCCTCAACGCTCCTATTTTTGCACTGTTCAAAGATCTTGTGTCATTTGATATTTGATGACCCCAAAGTCCATTGAAAGATATGTAAAGTTCAAATTATTGCTGTTGCTGCTATCCCCCTTCCCCCACTCATCACATCCGGAATTTTGCCATGACTGGTTGAACACATTCATAAGGATTGTACTCAGCCAGCTAACCCTGAATGGCCACACCATTTAACTTTAGATTGAGAGAGTTAGTTGATTTACCAGTGTCCCTGTCGGTTGCTCGGACGACAATGACTGATGTGCCAATCCCTGCGGTTTCCCTCAGCCCTAGTCGGTTATACTGTTGCTGGGTAAATACTGGCTTTTCATCATTCACATCCTCCACATATATGATCACCTAGACAAGGAAAAGGTCAAATCAAGGGCATGAGAATTCACAAAGAGACGATGACCAAATTATCAAGACTCTGTCCATTCCTAAATGGTTGAATTAAAAGTATCTCTGATCTTCCTCTTTTATGCTGAAGATACATTGACCACAAAAAGTTGGGATTTACATCACTGTCTTTAGCTCACCAAATCTAAGCTTAGAACTGGGTTAAAACAACAACTGTGTTAGAACAGCAACTTGCAAAGTCAGCGAACATGATCAAAGACCCTTCCCACCCCGGTTATAATCTCTTCCAACCTCTTCCGTCAGGCAGAAGATACAAAAGCTTGAATACACGCACCGACAGATTCAAGAACAGCTTATTCCCTGCTGTTATTAGACTTCTGAATGGACCTCTCAAGTTTTAAATTTAATGTTGATCTCGCTGTCTGTGCACCTTCTCTGCAGCTGTAACATTGTATTCCTCGCTCTGTTCTGTCACCCTAATGCAATTTGTACAGTAGGATCTGCCTGTACTGCACACAAAACTAAACTTTTCACTGTACCTAGGTACATGTGACAATACCAAATCAAATCAAAAAGTGTTGCAGTGGTAGTGTCTCTGAAGGTAAGGGCTCAAGTCCAACGTACCCCTAAGAGGGGTGACTAACATGTCCAATTAGGTGATTAAAATAATAATAAATTGCTCCCATAATCATGGGTAGAGGTCTCTAGAAACTTAGGGATCTATTGTGAGAATGTCATAGACAAGCACCAAGAATAATCACAAAGGGAATAATGAGGGTGAAAATATAAAAGCTTGTGGTCATTCTGTAGGTGTGCTGTGCTCAGTTCTTAGCAATGTCACTTCCAACTTCAACAGCTAAATTATGAAAAGGGATCAGATAAACCAGTGTTGCATTCCCTGGAATTGAAAAGGTTAAGGGATTAATTTTATTCAATCATGGGATATGGACCTCACTGGCCAGGCCAGTATTTATTGCTCATCCCGAATTTGCCCAGAGAGCTGTTGAGAGTCAACCATGTTGCTGTGAGTCTGGAGTCACTTGTAGGCCAGACCAGGTAAGGATGGTAGGTTTCTTTCCCTAAAAATTCCACTATCCCCTTAATGGGATTTGAACCCAGGGCCCAGAGCATTACCTGGGTCTCTGGATCAATAGTCGAACCATGATACCAAGAGGCCATCACCTCCCCCACACTAGTTGACATTTGGAACTCTCTTCAGTCAAACGCAATTGTTAATTTCAAATCTGAGATTGACAGACGTTTGCTAACCAAAGATATTAAGAAATCACTATGGGGCAAAGGGGTGGAGTATTATGGAGCTACACCAACCATGATCTCATTGGCTGAATATGCTCCAGGAGTTAATTAAGTGGCCTGCTCCTGTTCCTAAATGAAGATTAACAATAGTCTTAACCCAGTCCTAGGGGTATACGGATGGAAATGTGGAGAGAAGACATAGGCAAATGGGACTAGCATAAATTGCGAAAACTGGGCAGCATAGGCAAGTTGGGCTGAAGGGCCTGTTTTGATGCTGTAGACCTCTATGACTCTAAGACCCACAGCATTAGACAGAGAGCACTTGATGACAGCTTGTGTCTATGAATGAACTGAAGATGTGTCCTTACTCTGACAGTGCTCCTCATCCTGCCAAAGTCATTGTTGTAGGCCTCCACTTGCAACACATGGGTAGTGCTGCTCTCTCTGTCCAAAGGGCGGGAGCCCCTGGAGATGAGCCCAGTGTCAGGGTCAATCTGAAAGTTATCGTTGGGATTTCCTAGAAACACAAGGAAAATTGAACGGTTAAAAATATATCTCCTTGACCAAGCTTCCTGTAACTACCACAAACATTAACGTCTTTTTATGCTGGCTTCCTCTGAAGTGGATTCATGAGATGGAATGTAACATTTTACAGGATGCAGCCTGCATCAGCTCAACAGTTAGCTGAAATCATGGCAATTCTCGGAAGAGGATTTTATAGATAAGAAAAGCCTTTACACCTTGGTCATCAGTCAATAAACTTGAATCTTAACTCTTGTCTATTCAAAATAATTTTTCTAATACTTTATTTCACTCTTTCATTTCAATGACTTATAAATTGCCAAGAGATCACTTCAGTCTCTGAGGCACTCTTTTAGAGCTTACAGAGGATGCCTCTGGAATTATGACTTGGGGACAGCCAACTGAGTCAAATCAGGCTTCCTACCTCTGGATTCACCACACAGTAAAATTAGAACACTCAATGACCCTCAGAATTGATGCCTATGGTAAATAACCAGACTTTTTGAAAAACCAGTACCAGACTTTGTGAATAATTGATACTAAACACTGGGTTTACAGCTCAAACAGAAGATTTAGGAATTTATTCCTCCTACAGTGACTTTAGCAAAGCAAAGTTAAACAAGGTAATCTAATTAATGTCTAAAATTTAAACCCAATCCTTAATTCTATTCCCCACTCTCACACAAAGACATACAGACAAACAGATACAATTAAGCGATAAATCAAGAGGGAAAAGAAATGAGATGTAACTGGTCAGGTCACTTGAGCAGATTCGACAATCCATAACAAAAACATAATGGTCACCGGACCCGAAACATTAACTCTAATTTCTCTTCACAGGTATTGCCATACCTGTTGAGATTTTCCAGCAATTTCTGTTTTTGTTTCTGATTTCCAGCATCCACGGTTAGTTTGGTGTTTATCAACAATCCTTAACATTGGCAACATATGGGATTATATCTTGCTTGGTTTCAGATGACATTGATGCATGCACATAGCTTCCAGTAGGCACTGAGGAATATTCATTTTATTCTTATAACTGGGATTCCATTCTCTGAACTTTCATTAAGTTGATAATGAGAGAACAAGCAGGGAGCAATCAAAACTCCATCCTGTAGTTTTCTGACTTAAACACCATCCAAAAACCAGCTCAAATCTGGCCACTCCCTGTTAGACTAACCATCTTTCCACTAGGTCCCAGTTAACATTCAGCATCTGCCATCTTTTTTATTATTCATTAACGGGATGAGGATGTCGCTGGCTCAGCAGCATTTATTGCCCATCCCTAATTGCTCAGAGTGCAGCTCAGAGTCAACCACATTGCTGTGGGTCTGGAGTCACAAAAAGGCCAGACCAGGTAAGGATGCTCGAGCACAAAGACTTTGCGGAACTGAAGCGTCTATGGAGCACTTTTAACGTGAATCAACCTGCAATTAACTTTCAGGCCTGGCCTCATAAACAAGTATCAGTTTGTTTCTTCTTTTCTTTAAGAACATCGCCTGCTCTCACAGTCCAAAGGCTAACTTTCAAATCTCAGGTCACAGTTCACAGCTCCAAACCAAAAATGATTAAAGGAATAAAATAATAAAAATTCAGTGAGGGTCCTGACATTTTTCTGTCTTTGTTACAGGAATCTGAGACCAATCTAACTTGAGAGTTCTCTTTTTATTTATTTATTCATTCACAGCATATGAGCAGCACTGGTACGGCCAGCATTTGTTACCTATCCCTAGCAGCCCTGGAGAAGCTATGGTGTGGAGGTGCCAGTGTTGGACTGGGGTGGACAAAGTCTGAAGTCACCTGACGAAGGAGCAGCGCTCCGAAAGCTTGTGATTTCAAATGAACCTGTAGGACTATAACCTGGTGTCGTGTCACTTCTGACCTTGCTGTAGAGAAGGTAATGGCTCACTACAGGTGGTCCTGACCTGTTCTGGCCTACATGTGACTCCAAACCCACAGCAATGTGGTTGACTCTTAACTGCCCTCTGGGCAATTAGGGATGGCTAATAAATGCTGTCTCGCCAGCCATGTCCACGTTCCAGAAATTTTTTAAACAAAAGCACACAGAAGTGGATTTGCATCACTGAGAGAAATCCTTTTATTGAACACTATCTAAACTGATTTTGTTTGAAGAGTTTGGAGTGAGTTTGGACAACCAAACTCCAATGAAGAACACATCTGTTTCTTACTTAAACAACTCCTTCAATTAAATTCTGATTCTTTTTGCTAAGCAAAATAAATGGAGCAGATACAAGTCAATGTTACCTGAGAGAATTCTGTACAAAACCTTCCCATTAACTCCTTCATCTGTATCAGTGGCTTCCACCTATTAAAACAGAGAAAAGGCAGATTCAGCAAAAAGCAAATCACAGGCTACACCTCCCCACTGCATCCTGCGTTGCAATTTGAAGCTTTATTCTGACATACTGCAAGCACCTGTGAAATCACTGAGCTCAACCCAATTCCTCTGATGAAAAAGCAAAATGCCTTGCGTTGACAGACTTACCGTCGGGAGCTCAGAAAGTTTATTTGATTCAGTCATTCTTGGGATTCTGGCATTGCTAGCTAGGCCAGCACTTTTCACTCATGCCAAGTTGCTCTTGAGAAGGTGGAGCTGGGCTGCCTTATTCAATGGTTGCTGTCCATCCGATGGAGGGACGCCCTCGGAGACGTTAGGGAAGGAGTTTGAGGATTTTGACCCAGCAACGCTGAAGGAACGGCAATAGATTTCCAAGTGGGGATGGTGAGTGGCTTGGAAGGGAATTTATAGGCAGTGGTTTTCCCATGTATCTGTTCCCCTTGTCCTTCTAGATGGTAGAGTTTGTAGCCAAAGGAATCTTGGCAAGTTGGAGCAGTGCATCTTTTGGATGGTACACAGTTGCCTTTTCCTTAGGATGGAGGCTTTCAAGACTAGGGGGCACATTTTTAAGGTGACAGGAGAGAGATTTCAAAAAGATATGAGGGGAAAACTTTTTATGACACAGAAGGTGGTTTGCGTGTGCAATGAACTTCCTGAGAAAGTGGTGGATGTGGGTAATTACAACATTTAAGAGACATTTGGATAGGTACATGAATAGGAAAGGTTTGGAGGGATATGGGCCAGGAGCAGGTAGGTGGGACTAGTTTAGTTTGGGCTTATGTTCAGCATGGACTAGTTGCACTGAAGGGTCAGTTTCCATGTTGTATGACTCTATGTTACTGCAGAGTACACTGATGTTGCTTTTAGTTCTGAGGAGAAACATTGATTGGATGACTGACAGAAAGCGTTGCTGTTTCATCTCAAACTGTAGAATCAGGTTTTTGGTTTTGAATCAGTCAGAAATAAAGACATGACAAATAAACGACATTATGACAGTGAAAGTCAAGGATAATAGATAACTCACAACACAAAGCAAACTAAACTAAAACAAAATAAAACAAAGAACTGCGGATGCTGAAGATCTGTAACAAGAACAGAAATTACTGGACAAACTCTGCAGGTCTGGGAGTATCTGTGGAGACAGAAACAGAGTTAACGTTTCAAGTCCAATGACTCTTCATCAGTTCTAAAGCTAAAAGTTAAGTTTGAATTTGAGGTGTGGCTTGACAAATCATTCAGAATGTTTACATAAATTATTCAGAAAAAGTTCAGAACGTGAACACCCTCTTTTCTGTTCATCACCTTTCCCAAAACCTGCTCACAGCACAGCAAACCTACTTTTATCTATTTACCTTTATCGCGAGCACCCTCCTAGCAATTATCTCTCTCTTGACTTATCATCCACAATCTGTTTGTTTGCCTATCCCTTTTCTCCCTTTCTCTCTCTCTCTCTCTCTCTGAACACAATCTCCATTTACAGGGAATCCTCAATATATGAATGTCCAATTTACAAGCGCTCATACTTACAAACACGATCCCGTAGAGAGGTGTAATTTTAAAGAACTGGAATTAGCTTTATTGTCACGTGCACTCGAGGGAGCGCAGTGAAAAGTTTGCAATGTCGCCGCTTATGGCACCATCTTAGACACAAGATACCTGGGTACAGATTCTTAAGTATTTTGGTGAAAAATTGAAGGAATAGTAAATAAAAGGCCAGCATAAGAATAAAAAGAAAAGAAAGTACTCGAATTACAGTCCTTTTCATCTCCGTCCGTGCCAGCATCGAGCTTCTGGAACGCGCCAGGCCGAATCTCCAGACTGCACGTGACTTCAAAGCTTGAGGCGTTGCTTCCAGTCCATAACGGACTCGCCTTCCCCCGCGTCATCCTCCGGCCCGGGACTCCATTCCCACCTGCGCCATCCTCCGGTCGGGGACTCGTCTCCCCCGTGCCCCCCTCTGGTCCAGGATTCCCCTCCCCTCGCGCCGTAACCCCTTGCCCCGCTCTCTCCTCTAGTCTGGGACTTCCCTCCTTCTGCGCCGT